ATTACTGTCTGGAATCAACAGTGTTTAAATATCCTGCCTCTTTTGATTACTTTTAGAAAGGACTTCACAAACATGTACCAGCTTCCTTCTTTTTAAACACATACTAAATCTTCTCTTTGTTATTTAATTAGCTTGGTAATATTAAACATGAGTTAAATACACAAACAAAAACTCATGAAAAGGAAGTTATGTCACATAATTTTATACAATTATATTTAGTAAATCAGTCAATTCCTTCTAGTCAGTAGAATGCAACACTCACCTTCTAAAACAGATTTGCAAATTTTTGGAAATAGATTTGCAGTAAAACCCATTTAAAAAACTTTCTTTTTCTGAAAAGCTTCTCTCCTCCCACTTCTGCTTCAAGACTAATGAATTCATGAAAATAGTAGTGTTACTGCATGGCAGCAATTATAAAGTACATCAAAAGTTCCAAAGTAGTGAAATACCTACAGGGTTGTATCTGTGAGTTTATGGATTTTAAATCTAAGACATGAGGTTTTCTAGAGCTAGAATCCTAGGCTCTCAGGCAAGAGGCGACCCCAAAAATTGTGATCAAGAAATAAAGCCAGTTATTTGAGTTAGAACAGTCTCTGCGAAAGAGAAAAATTCTCTTACAATATATAACATCTTCACATAAAAGCGGATAGAAAAGGCTATGATATATCACCACAATAAATTGTAAAGTGTGGTATATTAACATACTATCTACTACACTTTAGTTCCTTTTTCCGTTTAGTAGAATACGAAGGCAAGATCACATAGGTTTTGCCTAAGCTTCCTCTTATATGAAATGAAGTAACATCTGAAAATAATTTCAGAAAATAACATTAGTCATCAATCATTCTCTGTAGTCATGAATGTAAAGAGCTGATACCACAATCCTGGCACATCAATGAGGAGTTAAAGAGACCTCTCATAAAATATGGGCAATTAAATGATCCTTACATATTAGCAAATAAGAATTGCAGCTATTACTCAATCAAAAGTACAGGACTAGACTAAAGGGTTTTGCAGACGGCTGATTGTTAATTTAGGAGCTGCAACAAGCTGTGTTTGTGTAAGGAGAAAGAGCAATGTTAAGCAAAGACTCGGCCCCCCTCTCAAGAAAGAAAGATAAATACCATTATTTCCTCTTTGAGGAAGTGGTGCAGCAAAACTGTCACAGATATGTCATTAATACCCAGTAGGTCAGGAGATATGTTATGCTCAAGGTGGAGTAGAGGGTGAGGGAAAAAAAAATTGCTCTGCAGGAGGCAAAGAACACAGCAAAAAAACCAAAACAAAACCAAACCAACCAATCAAAAAAACCCCACAAAAACCAAACAACAAAACAAAACAAAAAAAAAAAACCCAAAACAAAGCAAGACACAAAAAACCCCTCCCATGCGATGTTTCTGCTGAAGGATCTTGCTCAAAAAGTCTAATACAACCTTGACAACTAGTGGCATTACATTAGTACTACAAGTACTACCAAGTACTTGTAGTACTACAAAGTTAATTATTATCCAAATTTAAGAAGAATTAGCTCCTACTTACGTACAAGACTACACCAGATGCTCCACTTAGATGACAAACATAGGTTTAAACAGACCAAAAAAGCAGCAACATCTGCCTTTATTGAGTCTTCCTCCTGATCTGCTTTAAAAAAATGTCAGCACCATTTAGTAAGGGGCTTCAGAACAGTCACTAGGAGAAGCAAAACAAAGTTTGGCTTGTGGGCCTCATGGTTCAAGGGAAATAAACCCAGGGGAGGCCATGATGTTCAGTCTTGGCAATATCAAGACATCGCAGGGCTTTAACACAGAAGTAAATACTAAATTCCTGAGAAAGTTAATATCAAAAGTTTCTATTGCCTACAGTTTAGAGTTAGAGAATCTCTGTTTTTTTCTGAGATATTTTACCAAGCTTAGAGTCTTCCCTGAATTAGGTTTCAAGCTTACTTTTTCTAACCTGCACCCTGAAAAGAATAGGCAAATTTACCTAGCTAACCTTACTTTTGTGTTCCTACCCTATTCATCTTGCATATTTGCACTAGGTTCAGCTGTAATAAGGAGCCATTCTCACATAACTTCTGTTCTTGAAAGCTTTTCTGTCTCCCAAGACAGGAGCACAGTTAAAATTCAGTCTGTGAGATTATGATCTCAAATAAATTTCTCTCCCTACAGTTCCTTCAAGTTTTTCAAAGATATTTTGTATTTTTCACAGCCTTGGAAATTGTGAGGAAATGGACTTTTTGGGTTTTTTTTACCACAGTCATAGATCTCTGAAACAAAAGAATGATAATTCATAAAAACATAAGTCTTATCTTCAGCTTCTCATCATGAAAACTAATTAGTAAACTTTAATTGCTATTTAAAATAGTCTCAGGAAGGCTACATATTTTTTAAAAGGGATAATAGGGAAAATTTCAACAGGACAGCAGAAGGCTTATTGGCAGGCAGTAAGATTATTTCAAAGGGCAGATAGATTGGCTTCACCTTCTCCTCTGCAATTTAGGAAGTGATGGCAGAGATCCCTTAGGATGGGCTTCCACTTTTATGCAAGACTTGCTTCCAAGCAGCCTTGCTCATTATTATACTCCATGGATTACTGAAGTAACAAAATATATGTAAGTAGTTTGATTGCAGTCAAAGTTTGACAGCACATAAACATACACTGAATACTATGACATATCTAAGATTTTCTCACTCTTGAAGACCTAGCACAAAAGGTTAGAAATGGCCTCAGACCATTTTTAAAAGTAATTTTTATATTTTCTTAATAAAAAAGTGTATCTTTCTGTATCAAATTTGCTTAAGATTATTGATATGAAGTCCAAGTATCTCTGTGAGAACACATCATGAAAACATGTACTGTTCAATATCACACTGCCCAAGAAATAACCCAAGAAGAAACCACCTTGTAATGTACATAATGAAACTTATTGACTGGTCAGGAAGTTAGCAAGGTACAAATGCTGTCAATATTGCATTACATTTTCTACTAAAATTTCAGAAATTGTTGACATGTCAGATGTCTTCTCTCCAGCATAGACTACCCTGACATTCAATACGCTATGAAATGCTGTTTTTCAAATCTCTAATGAATAGCATGAAATCATGACTCTAGGTATATACAGGAAAAGAGCAATGCTTTAATAGATAAAAAAGTGGTCTCAGAATCAACTATGTAATATGCACAATCTAGATTTTAATGCAATATAGGCACACTAGATTTCATAATGCAAAAGTAATCAAATCAATAAATGCATGTACGCTACAATGCCACTTCAATATTTGAATTCCATTTTTAGGGTAACCTCAAGGCTTTAAAATTTTCTGATTAAGTATATTCTATTGTCAAGCACCCAGCTTTGTACAATTTGCAGTAAGAAAATAGGAGGAAAAGGCTGCATTGCCTATCAGAATAGGTCAGCATTCCATAAAGTTAATGGAATTTCAAAGGAAGTACACTCAACCTGTAATGCACCATATGAATCAGGAAATTGAGAACTATTTTTCAAAAATAGATCTGCCATGTTACGGTCAGCAACATTACAACCTGCCCCTGAGGCAGGTTAACTGAGGTTGTTGTTAATAGATCCCTCAGGGCAGACTAGAGTGATGCAACACTGAATGAATGCTGGGGGTTTTATAAATAAAAAGAGTAGATAGATAGATAGACAGACAGACAGATAGATAACAGGTTTATTTTGGAATAATTTGGTTAAAACGGAAAGGAAGTATGTAACAGATTTGGTTATTATCTATAGAAATAGAGCAATATAAAAGTAAAATGATTACACCTGAGAAAATATACAAGGAAAATAAAAAGAAAGGATAAGAACAGATAGCGAAGAGGAAAGTATCACCACCCTCTGAAACCTTATTGTTGCAATTTAGATGTCCAGTGGTTAAAGTAACAGTTACAGTTTCAATCCATCAAGGCCAGGGGAAATCCCTGAAACTCAAAGTCCAATGGGTTCCATAGGTTCAGGTGGGAATGCCCAGGTACTTCTTCTCAGGGAGGAGTTTTACAATGTCTCTTGCAACACTGTGGATCATTTGCAGTCCTCTGGTGGAAGGCCCAAGAAGTAAGTCTGGAGGCAGACACGACCCACGTCTGTCATGCCAGCTTAGTTGAGCCAGTTCTGCCTTAACAGAAGGGAAAAATACCCTCAGGCCTAAGTGTGAATGTTCCTGTATCTCTCAGGATGGGAGAGAATCTTCTGCCTGAGCCAGTTGTGTAAGGGAGGAAATTGGCATGATAAAAATCAGGATCCCAGCAACATTGCAAGTTATGCCTCTTGGAGGTGTTTTCCCTTATCTGTCTCAAACCCCAGCTTGCTACTACACAAAGGTGGGTCTGTCAGGGTCATCCTCTGGTAATGGGTGCTCATCCCCTCTGCACCTGGGCAGACCAAAAAGTTTCATAACCACATACCCAAAGACACTCACCCCTGTGGCTGAGGGGTGCAAACAGCCAATTGATTGCATCATTAACTCTTAATATTAATCTCTCACAAAAAGCAAAGCAAAATCCAGTGCTTCATACTTACTCAAGCATGTACAGTAAGTTAATTCCTCACACTATATGTGCACTAATACAGCCTAGTTTATGCAAGACACTCTTTTCAGGGAGGGAAAATAGCTGTTGACTAGTTACAAAGAATACATTACATTCAAATACATTTAGGCCTTAAAATGATAGTCAAAACAAACCACAGCAAGTGTACATTATCACCCATATATAGAATAATCCCCTTGAGTGTGCGGTGGGTTTGTTTGTTTAGTTTTTTTTCTGTTTTTTTTTCCTTGTTTTAAAGTAACAGACATTTAAAAAAATAATGCTTTACAAAAATACTGATAGTGGTTCACATTACTACAACCTCAATGCTCTCCTCTTCTTTCAACATTTTCTATGATCTTAGCAGTATCCCCAGTAGTTTTTTTGAGTAACCACATGCTGCTCAGACTCCTTTTGCATGAGATCCATTGACAATACACTGTGTCTCTGTTCCTTTGCTGATATATTTCAAACCATTTACATCCGAAAGCTTCTGGTTCTGTGAAACGGTTGAAAAGGCTTTTTTAAGGCCCACATCAGTATTGGTGGTTTCTGTTTAGTTTTTTCAGGAAATAGCATCGCTTCAGTTTCAGGGCTAGGAAATCGTACTCTGTACACTTCAGGGTAAGATTTCTGAAACTAGAAAAGTACATTAATTCAAATTAAGAATTTGTTCAAACACGTACAATAAACTATTAAAGTGAAGCCTGCATTTCTGGAACAGGGAAATTATATCTCTAAGGGACTTTCTACACTGCTATATAGAAAATTAGGCAGTATTTCTGATTTGGGTTGATTGATCACAGCATACTTGTTCTAAAGTATTATAAATCTGGAAATCCCCATGTGTAGCCACTGTTTTCAATTTCAGTATTTCTCTAGAAGAATGCATGTCTAAGACTTGATAAATATTTTCAAATTGAAATTAGAAACTGTGGAGAAAATTTTATTTACTTGCTTGAGCTTCTTCTTTTTATCCTTCACAGATATTTCTTTACTCATTACAATTTCTTCCAACAAAGCTGCCAGTGGTTCTTGAGAGCCAGCTGCCCTTTGGTATTCAAATTCACCTGTAGTGATTTGGTGACAAAATGATGGAGGAGGAAGTGTTGCATCACTATCAGCCCCAGCATATTTTATCTGAAGATACAGTAAAAAAAAAACAAAAAGAATAGCTAGGTTTTCTGCAAAACACTTGCATAAATTGGCTTAATCAATTGACCACTCCAAGACATTAAATAGAGGAAATACTGAATAGAGACCTTGAACTGTAATTTTTATCTTGAGCCCTAATTGAGTGAGTTCCAGTAAGTCAAAATACATGACACATAGGAAGCCTGTTCAGCTCTTGATTTAAGTTTAAAGTTACTTTTCCAGTAGAAAATAGACAAAAGAACTAAAAATCATCTTTGAACAAAAAGAAATTATGGTATCAGGAAACAAATGAAAAAACTGAGCAAGTAAGGATGGTTCTAAAGGGAAAAAAAAAAAAAGAACAAGAATGAAAACGCTTTATAATAATTGTGTTTTCTTCACTACCACAAACATAGTTTGCTCATTCCATGGGAAGATAGTGCTGACAAAGAGGAAAACATATTTGAGAGTTCTTGTCTCTAAACAAATTCAATATTTGTTTCATTTCATTTAGACGCATAGTTATGGTTTAATATCAGTAGTCAAAATTAATTAGATCTCAAAAGCTAACAGAAACAGAACAAAACCTTGTAAGAACTGTCGATCTTCAGAAAACAAAGGATAAGTTCAATCTAGAAATAGAGAGACAAAAGAGGTTTTTTCACTAGATACTTACTTGGACTCTCTGAAGATGTACAACATGATCCTCTATGGAAGACTTTAAAGCAGAAGGAACACTTAAGATCTCTTGATAATTATCCATGAGAAAAGATACTAGTTTAGCAGCAAGAAGTTCATCCAAGTCAATTTCATCCTTTGAGCAGAGAATACAACGGGAAAACGCCTGAACCATCTGAGGGAAAAAAACACACACATAATTACAATGTATTTTTCTGTTTGGGAGTGAGGAGTAGAGAATCAGGCTATGTTTAAAAAGTGAACTTTTAGAACAAATATTTTAACATCACAATACTTACTGTACTTCAAACATATCAATATTTTTTTTTAAATATATTATGTACAGTGACATTATGTGAGTGCACTGAAGATTGCTCCTGCCTCATACAGATAATCCACTCCTGACTTTAGATATGGAATGAATGAATTTAATTTTATTCTCAAGACTTTGTCAAATAGCCACTTCACATGGCTATTTAAAGAGGGTATATGTATGTAGAGATTTTTTTTAAAATAACACAGAAATTTAATAGAAATTAGGCACCAGAGGGAAAACTTGAAACCACTATTTGGAAATCATCAAATAAAATTTCAGGTCCAGTTAACTTCAGGTAGTATTGTGCTCAAGCACTCAGTTACAAGAGTTTCTGTTTGTGCACCAGTCACTTGTAACATTAAAATCACAGAAGGTAATAAAGATTTTTGTCATGTACCATACATTACATTGCTGAATTAACACTTCATACAAAACACTCAGACTATAAGGATTCACTTCTAAAATCAACATTTCAATTACAACAATAATTTTAATGAAAGACCACTTACAGTTAATTAAATTATAACCTTGGCAGTAAAAAAATTAATTATTTTAATCAAATACTATTCAGAGTTCACTAAAAACTTAATTGCTGTGGAGCACATTTAGATTTGTACATGCTGTTATAGGATTTTTACAGAATAGCTCTGCAGCTTAGTTTTCCATTGCACTTAATTTTCAAAGACTTTTAAATTAAACAAAATAAATATATGTTGTTAGCTTGTCAGAATAGTTAAGTTATGCCTAATGATTTTGTAATAAGGTGTTGTTGCACACATCAGCATAGTGATATCACTACATAAGCTGCTACAGAAGAATTAGCAAAAACTGGAGCTTACTTTAAGACACGTCTGTGTGTGGTGAAAAAAAACAACTACTGAAATAAACAGTTGGGATTTTAATTTTTTTGAATGGCTGAAAACAGGTCAATCAGAACATTCAGCTCCATATTTCTAGCTATGATTGAAACAGGCAGTATTTTCATTCACACTGTCTGAAGTTATAAAGAACACCAGAGGCACCTCATCTGCTTTTCTTTATTGGTTGATTTTGGGAGTTTCTTGTTTGTTTGTGCTTTTTTCCTACTCAATAGTGAAATCAGTGGTGATTTAACTTGGAAAGGTAAGGAAACCTCTAAATTCTGAGCAATTTCTTTGTGTGCTCACAAATTGCCATGAAATCCCACTTTATTCAAATCCAGATTAGCTTTCCAAATAGCTGGGACAGACAAATTAGTTCCTCAAACAAGCAAATTGTATTTTGTTCATACTCTCCAGTAAGAATCCTTAACCTGTAGTCCAAAAGTCTGTCCAGACCTTTTACCTTACACTTATACATACCAAAGTTCTGGTCCTCACTGATTCAGAAAGACGTGGCAAATCCTGGTTTAGACTAATTCTTGCCATCATTCTCACCAAAAGCTGTAGTCTTTTCCTATTTTCTGGTGGCAGTAGGAGGCAAGATATCTGAAGAGCTTCTACAGCCTTGCTGGGTTTTTGCAGCAGTCCTGGTTTATATGAGATCAGAAGGTTGGGAAACATTTCTCAGTTATATATATATATTTCCATAACATTTCTAAATCTAACTCCCAAAATTCCCTTCTTACTCACTCAAGATTGCCTTAGAACTCCACTCCCCAATGAGACTAGAAAGATATCACTAGATTTGGACTACTAGGACTTAAGTTTTAGAAGATTTTCTTCTGATGCACTGGAAGACGTTGATAGCCATAACCAATAATTCTAAATATTAGAATACACCAAAAATTACAGCATTTTTTTCATCCTTTGCTCTTTTATTACCTCAGCACTAAAAGCAACTGAATGGTATAAACAGATATAGCAACCATGTTACATAAAATGTTAAGTCTGTGACAACAATCACAGGGAAAGAAAATGTGCTTATACATGTGCCTCAGACCTATAGATATTAAATCTGTGCCTAACTCTGCTTATTCCTCCTCAGGAAAGGAATTGACATTTCTCCTTTTCTAAACTTTATAAAATTCCTGTTTACCCATTTCTGCAGCCAGTCGAGGTTACCCTGCATGGTACTACAACACTGCTGCATAAGCTACTCTTCTCCATTTTAGTTATTTGCATGCTTGTTTAGGGCATTGTGCCCAAGTTTAGGACAGAATGTGCCACCTCCCTGGTCATTACCAAAGTGATAATCATTACTGGCCACACTACCAGCCCTTCTCACTGACTGACATCCAGCCAGACTTTGTGCCACGGATCACAACCCTCTGAGCCCAGCAACTGAACCGATTTCTGAGTTCACCTGACGACCCACCTATCCAGGCTGTACTTCCTCAGGATGCCTAGAAGGATGAAATGGAACACAAGCATTGAAAGCCTTACTGCTCTCAACATAAACAGTATCCACTGCTATCTCCTCATCCACCATTCTGGTAAACTCCATGATGTAAAACATGGAAACTGTTTCTTATTGGAAAAGAAGTGTGGACTAGGTAAGACATTCCAAGGAGAGGGGTAAAACACTAAAGCTAATTTTCATAGTAAAGCTTTTTCTAACTTCAAAGGAAGATTTGGCATGCATATTGATGCATATGCTTAGAAGAGTAAGGAATGATTCCATATCAGCACTTCACATTTTTTAAAGAGATCACAAAATTAATGTTTGACTTCTTGAAACATGGCACAATTTTCATTGCTTCCACATACATACTGGCATGAAATCTTTCTTCTAATTTTACATTTACAAAATGGTGTGAAATGATAGTGGTAAAACCTGAAAGATGTGAAAAACATGGAAAAGCAAAACAGAAACAGAGTATGAAAGCAGAAGAATAAGTTTTAAAGATATAAACAAGAGCTGACTAAAAAAAAGAAGTCAGAAAATTGATTTATATTCCATATGAAGCAAGATTGACAACTCACAAAGTATATATACTAAATTCCAGAACCAGAAGTGTCATTCTGGATTCCTTTCTCATCTCAATAGTTTAATAAAAACAGTGTTGTTTACACAGAAAGAAGCTCAAAAAACTAACATGCTACAAAGCGGGTTTACTTTTCAATTCAGTTGTTCTTTCTGAAATTTGATTACATAAAATATAATCAAATACTGACTGTCTTACTATTTACTGTCTTTCAGTAAGCCACCTGTAGGATCAGAGTTGTCAATTTTAATATAGTGTGAACTCTGGAAAGTTCTAGTTAATAACTAAAACATTGCTTCTTTTAAGCACTACATTAGTTAATGCCATTTCTAAATTAAAGCAACATAGTATTTCAATTCCCTTTAAATATCATATTTCCAGGGTTAAAAACTGTGCTTAAAGCCCTAATCCTTTCTAATCTAGACTTCAGTCAAGCAATTTCTAAAAGCTTCTGAGAGTTTTTAAGACATTTAAGCACTTGTAAAAAAAGAAAAATTTAATAAAATCCATCTGTTGCATGCTGAGCAATGAACAAGCAATGAGCAAGGCCTTTAATGTTATAAAGACAAGCAATGAAAGACTTTTGAACCAATGTGATTAAAAAGACACAAAAATAAAACTACTGTGTGATATGAAATAAATTTAAACTGTTCTCTATGTAGAATGGAAAGGAAAGGCCCTAAATAATTCATCTGTGATATTATTTTAGGTAAAATAACTCCAGAAAATTAACTCTAAAGAAAATTTTTTTCATTAGATTCCAAACTACTTACCTAACACACTAACAAAAATATCAAAAAAATTAAATGTGAGAAGAGGTTCTTTCATCTGGCTAAAGTAGTCCACTATTGTTTTGAAGACATCTCTTTCAAAGCCTGAGTACGTAGGCTGCTTCAGATCTGAACAGCTGGGCCCTACAAAGAACAAAAAAAAAAAAAGCCAAAAAGGAGCAAAAGAGAGAGAGAATATTGATTTTCAGCCACTGAGCAAATCAGTGTTTTCTAATCCAGCCCATTAAAATGGATCATTAGAGGGGGGAAAAAAAATTTAAAAAAATATCAATTCTTCAAAATAAGTGAAATTTTATTTATCTACTACTTATGGATCTATTCCCAATAGGTCTAGTGAAGATACCAAGTACAGGAAAAACATTAATAGACTAGTTAAACCTTTATATAATTAATTTAAATAAGCTACACTGGAAGGAGAATACACACTGACAAGTCTTCTCCAACTTCCTTTTAGAAAATGATTGTATACAGGATTTAATAAAGTGGTGTAGACACAGTCAGTTCAATTTATTTTTTGGGGTTGGGTTGTTTGTGGGATCTTTTTCCCCTTCTGAATTTACTTACAATTTACTAGACATTTCATTGCAGATAATATCCAATGAGGTAGTTCCTCTGCAAAGGGAGGAAACAGAAATTAAAATGACAAAAGAGAAAAAACAAGAAAAATATTCAACTGTTAGACAAAAGCAAAGCTGAAAACAATTTAACATTCCTCCTGTGTAGTAAATCAAGTGACTCCAAAGGCAGGCTATACCTTAATGTAGGATCTAGCTTGAATTACATCTATACTTCAGTACCTGCACTACGATCATACAGTTATGCATTCTGCCCTTGCAGCTCAATCAGCAAAACAGGTCATATCACAAATATTTAAACTACTCTAAAAAAAAAAAAATCCGACTAAACCAGTTCTAGATACAGCCTTCCCCAGTGCTATACAATGAAGTGTTTACTTTGTACCCAAGATGATGAAAAGCGCTCATATTCAGTTTTGCCGTTTCTAAGAGAAAGTTAATATTTTGAGATGGTCCAACTGCCTTTGAAATGAGCACAGATGTGCTCTGAAGGCAGTTTTATTCAAAACCAAACCAGGTTTTAATGTCATATTTAAATTTCTCTACAAATCTTATGAAAATCTTGGTGGCAATAATACTGTGATAGATCAGAGCAGTAAAGATGCTTTATTTTTTCTCTGATGTGCAAAACAATTTTAAACATGGCGCTATCTTCAAAACTCAAAACTCTCTCAATGCACGTCTTGGCTCTCTCACAATCTTTAATATTGAAAACTCTCTCAATGTACATTTTGGATCTCTCAATGTATTTTTAATACATTTTTTCTTCATGTAAACACTCCAGTTCAGGTAATTAAAAGGGTAGGGCCAAGAAAGTTACCTTGAAGTGATTAATATCCCTATATTCATAAATGGTAAAAAGTTGCTGCTGTCTTACATTCATTTTTCAACCCTACTAGATTAAATATAGAATAAACCCTGACTCTTACTATTGGGATACCAGAGGAGAACAACAGCATTTCAAAAACAATAGCATTATAAAAACTCGAGTTTTTACAAAGTAGATAGCAATATTTAAAAAAAAAAAAAAGAAAATTTCTAAAATACTCACTTGATTTGTCCTCTAAAGTGACAATGCCTTGCTTATTGACATTATATACATTTTGAACTATATGTTTTGAATTCACAAGTTTTGTGTCTAACACTTCATCCAGAGAATCCAAACCCAACACCTTTTGTAATCTGCAAAAATACATAAACATAGATCATACACCATCTAATCTGGAAAAGGCAAACATGAAGTATTAGGATACAATTCAGAAAAAAAAGAGACTTTAATTTCATAGAGAATATCTCCAGTTGGATGACAGCCATAAGGACCATTCAGCACAACTCCTGCTTCTCACAAAACTACCTAGATTTATAGAATATCCTAAACTGGAATGGATCCACAAAGATCAGCTCCTGGCTCTTCACAGCACAACCACAAAAATTATACTACATGCCTGAGAGCACTGTCCAAACACCTCTTGAACTCTGTCAGGCTGTGACCACTTCCCTGGGGAGCTTGTTCCAGTGCCCAACCACCCCCTGGATGAGGACACTTTTCCTAGTGTCTAATCTAAACCTCCCCTGACAACTTCAGGCCATTCCCTCAGTCCTGTCACCAGCCACCACAGAGAAGAGACCAGTGTATTCTCCTCCACTTCCCATCACAGATTGCACTGCAGTGTCCTCTCAGCCTCCTCTTCTCCAAGTTAAGAAGCCAGAATATCTCAACCACTCCTCATGTCTTCCCTTCTAGACCCTTGACAATCTTCATAGCCCTAAAAAAGTTTTGTTTCAGTGCCTAGAAAAGGTCTAGTAATTTTAATACCTAAAACTATACCATGTAACTGAAAGCACAGCCAACACGCTCCTTGAACTCTGTAGGGCTTGGTGCTGTGCCCACTTCCTCAGGGAGGCAGTTCCAGTGCCCAGTCACTCTCTGAGTGAAGAACCTTTTCCTAATGTGGAGTCCGAACCTCCCCAGCCGCTTGATTCCATCTCCTTGTGTATTATCACTGGTCACCAGAGATCTTCCACATCTCCCCCCACTCTCCTCTCCAGAAACCGTAGGCAGCACTGAGGGCACCCCTCAGCTTTCTCAAAGCTTTTGGTGACTGTACAGCTCTTTACTCTCTCCAGATCTCACTGCAGGCCCTGTCCACCCTTGAAGGAGTTCAAAGTTCCTTCTAACCTAGTATCATGGACAAACTTAATGTACATTCAATTCCCCCATCCATATCATTTACAAAAACATGAAAGAGCACTGGCCCTAGAATGGAGCCCTGCAGAGCCCCACTGATAACTGCCCTCCAGAGATAACCACATTTACCACAATCCTTTGTGCTTGACCCAAGAGCCAGCTGCTCACCCAACAATATTATGGGGCTCATCAAGCTGCATGCTGCACAGTTTATCTAGAAGGATACTGTGAGAGACAATATCAAAAGCTTTGCTTAAATGCAAATAAACCACATCAGCTGGCTTCCCTTGGTCAACTAGATGGGTGACCTTGTCATAAAAGAAAATTTAATTGGTTACACAGTATTTTTCCCTTCTGAAACTATGCTGACTATGACAAATGACTGTGTGTCTCTCAAATATTTTATTATTAACTCCCAGATAATTTTCCATAATTTTACAGGCACTGAAGTGATACTGACAGGCCTGTAATCAACAGGGTCTTTGTTCTTTGCTTTCTTAAAGTTGAGAAAATAGTTGCCAGCTTCCAGATAACAGGTGCCTGTCCAGAATCCCAAGATAAATGAAAAAATAAGGAGAAAGATAGTGCAATAACATCATCCAGCTCTTTCAGCACCCTGGAATGAATCCCATTGGGCTTCATATCTTTAAGCATATCCAGCTCAAGCAGAAAGTTGCAAACAAATTCAGGGTCAGTTGTGAGTCTCCCTATTCCCACAGTCATACTCTTCCAGCCCAGAGCTGTGGGAGTTCCAGTGTCAATCAAACTTAATGAGTCCAGGACTTTCTGTCATGTGAATGCTACTGCTCCCTGATCAAGCTGTCAGGGTTTCAGCATCCTTCCACACAATCTGCTGTGCCAACCCTGTTTGCCCACCATTGTCTTTTGGTTGCTAGAGCTCTATAGGGACCTTTATGTGAAGGAGGGCTTGGCCACCACTGCCCCTAGTCTCACTTGTCCAGGTCCTATCAGCTGCTGCCATGTGAGCTCTAGGCTACCAGGGTGTCTCTCCATTCCCCTGAAGTTTCCTTGGTTCAGGAAACCCAGAATACACATGCCCTCTGCTGCCCATCATGCTGTCACCAAAACTGCTCACCTCAGCACCGAACGCACTACGTGCAAATAAATGTGCTAGGTTTACACTAAAGTCATCCTTAGTAAGACCTCAACCATGCTGTAATATCAGCTAGTGTATACTATTTCTTCCTCTGCAGAAATAGTCCAAAGCAATAGCTTTAACTTTGCATAGGAGATTCCATTTGAATGTAGTAAATGAATCTCTAAGCTGAATCTCAAAGCTTCAGCACTCAATTAGCTATGCCATTTATCTCATACAAAGTATTGTACTTGCCATTGAAAGGTTCCATAGCACTTCTACATAAGTGCTTTTATTTCCTAGCAACAAGAAAAAGAGACAGAGAAAAAAAGTGATTAAACAAGACAAAGTCCACACAACAAAGAATCGTATAACACAACGTGCAGAAGTCAAAAGGTACTAAGGACAGTAAAGTTTTTTTTCAGACTTTATTTGCTGAATTTGTTAGCCAAATAACAAGTGGTAGAGTTAGTCTAGACACTATGGCTTTGAAGGCAATGATGAAAAGTGAGTGGGTGAAATTACAAGTGTTACTAGAGAAGATAGACAAGACTATTACCTACTACACAGTTTTACTATAAGAGCAAATGACTCATAAGTATACTCACCGTGATAAAGTCATGGATTTCCATATCTCTTCTATATTTTTTTGTGTTAGTTCTCTGCGGAACACAAGTTTGCATGCTGGTACTTCCCCAATAGCTATGCTGTGTCGCTTGTACCACATCTCAGAGTTCTGAAATCAGAAAAAACCCTCCTCATTAACTGGTAGCTTTTCAAGTGTTAAACAGTATAAAACATTTATAGTACAGAATTGCAAGTGTTCTTAAATTCCAGTGAAGTCTTCAGGATGCAAGGTAAGTATTTGTGTCTAAGAGAAATGAAACATTTTCTCAATCTTACACATCTCTTCTCAATTCCACAACTTGAGAAGAGTTATGGAATTGAGAAGAGCTGAAAAATTATATGTGTCAGAATAACCATTGGAGTTCAGGAGTCAATGGCCTTTAATTCTATGTTCAAGTCCTATTCATGATTAAAATCAGTTCATCTGCCATTTTAAGATTAAACATCTGTTTATGGAAAAGTTACTGGAGAATTATGATACCAACGAATTAGAAAAAAAATCCTTGTTCAGCATACACTAAAATAACAGTAAGTGTAATAACAGGTTCTATACATAAAGAAAGTAAAAGCAAATCACTACATCTGAAGGCACCCATCCAATCTAGTCCACCATTATAGAAGTGTAAAGTAAAACTGAGAACGCAGAAGACCACTATCCTTTATGCAACCTTCATATCCAAGCTTATTCTTGAACATTGTCATCAAGGTATCAATGGGTGGACATACACTGCAGCTTGTATCAGCAGCATCCTTTTCAAGGGAAAACTCCTAATCATTCCAGCTCTTTGATTTACACTACAGACCAGCACTAAAGCACATTAAAAGTATTCCTTATAACCAAACCACAAAATGCATTCCAGGAATGCACTTAAATACTCCAAGCACTAATTGTCTGTCATTCCATGGCAGACTAGACTAGACCTAGTTGGAAGCAAATAGCACCCTCTGAAATTAAGGGTCTGGTCTTTCACATCAGTATTTCATGACACACAACCATGCTCATCAATCTACACACAGCCTCTAAGTGCTCAGATTGATGCTGAAGCAACTCATGGTACCACCATTTTCAGCTGTCTACTTCAATATTCCAGTGGAAGCTAGACCTAATTATAAAAGAGGCAGCAGAAAGAAGCTTATAGCTTTGCCTCACTTACAGTCCACTGTATTAATCCAAACTGCCAACAGAAGAGATTTTGAGCTATGCCCAACTCTATGCTGTTGCATCCAATCAGATGCAGACTTTTGCTAATTCTTATCAGGCCAGGATGCTTGGATGGAAATTCAGGGCACAGTTGGAGACTGTAATATATTACATCTTCAACAGATACTTGCTCAGTAACTAAAATACTCCATCTTCTCATTCTCATTTCCTATCTTTGGCATCATCTTTTCTTCTATCTACTATTGAAGCACTAAGGACCATGCCTTTCCTCTTCAGAAGCTTGCTGTACGTGAAGAGTACACTTGATTTGCACACAGTTGGATTGTAAGTATGGAATAACCATTCATTCAGAACATTTAGATGTTCAGCAAAATGGTAGGAGCTACTTTTCCAAATAGACTATGGTTTATCAAAAAATCTAAGGCCAGACTCCTGCTCTGAAGGGCAGTAATAAAAAGGCAAAAATCATCAAAGAAATCACAAATAATTCGTGAGTTCACAAATTATGAGAATGCACACATATAAGATACACTGAAGGAAGACCTCAGAATATTCACAACTCCAGAAGCCTAGTCTTTTACTATGTCAAGGTGAACAGAGTTGATACAATTTTGGTTTACTAATAAAACCAAGTTTTTTCAATAACTTTATAAAGGCTGGATCAATCCACATAAGTATGAGGCCAGATGACTTCCCGAGCTTACAAAGGATAACTGAAAAATCAGGACCACTTCTCCTTAGCGAAAACATATTCCTTATAAAAAAGGAAATTGAGTCAATACCAGTACTTCCAGCAGCTAGGAAGGTTGTAATAACTGCATATATTCTGGTATCTGAAGTGTCCAAATAAGAGTTACAGTGTGACTATTTTGTCTGGTAATATAATAAATGCCCTATCGGAATTTCAGCAAACTGGAATGAAATATGGGAAAATACACCCATGTGGAACTCAGGTTCCTCAGGACATTGCAATGTGTAGCACAAAGAACACTAAAATATTACCTCTCCAGCAAATTTTAAGAAAAATTTGCCTTCACAAAAGTTTAGAATAAAAGTATTTAGCATTTAATTTTATAAGCAAGTATTTTGTGACACAGCATAGAGGTCATCAGCTCAGTTTTGTTTTCCAAATATGCTTTTGTTTGGGGAAATAAAACTGGGTGCCTTACCATTGTGACGGATTTCACTGGGATGGGTTCTTGAGAAGGGCCAGCCCTTGGTTCATTCCAGTCTGGAAATTTAATTACTTCCTTTCCACATGAAGGTTTCTTTGGATATGACTTCAGTGGCGAGGAAGGAGGAAATCTACAATTAGAGAATATTTTTAAAGTCTCTAAATGCCAATCTAATTCCTATTTACCAATGCAAAACTGTAGTCAGCATTCACATGCAAAAATACAACAAATGCTTTGGACATTCACAGCCCAACTTAGTTTGCTGTAGACTGGTGTTGCATGATATGTAAAATATCGTGGAGTGTCTTGTTTGCCCTCCAGCTGCTGCTCCAGAACAGTTCAGGTCCTTTGTACCTCCCACGACATAGCTGAGCCTTGGGTGAATGTCTGCTACCCAGTGCGTCTCTTACAGCACTAGCTGTCTTTGCATGGACAATGACATAGGTCTTCACTAGGAGATGTTGATTCTGCTGAAAAAGCCGTGGGGATGTTTTCCCCCATGTCAAGTGCCTTGTTAGCATGCATTTCCTAAAGCAAAGCTACATAGCTAAGTCACATGACTAACACTCAGATTTAGTTAGAGTACATGCAAGTGTCCACACAAAGTTTTGCCCACATTACCAGGTTCTTCTGCGTTTACATGCTTTCTGTGCGAAGATCTTATCCTGCAGTTCTTTTCTGGATCATATCCTGCAGTTCTTTTTTCCAGATGGTTTTGCAGGTAACTATTTGACTTCTTAAGGCATTTCAAGAAGTGCCTTGAAGACATTAGCAGAAATAAGCCCCTAAACCAACCCTTGTAGAAAAGAAGGAAAACAAACTATCCAGCTTGATCAGCACCAAATTATTGCTAAGTTCAGGTTAGAGCATGTACAAAGGAACTAATGACAGCATATCAGAAAGACAAATCAGTTCAATGGAAACACCTCTTCAGGCTGGCCCAGATCCAATCCTGTCGACTTGCACGGCCAGGTTTTAGACGCTGAGATTCCTCATGCTTTAAGCAACTGCTAAAGCCTCATTAACTTTTTTAAAACAGAACGTAAAAGACAGATACATCTGTGACTTTGCAACAAAAGCTTGCACACTGCTGGAGAGCATACATATATATCCTCCCAGAAAAAATTCTTGAGAAACTCTCAAGTTTCTCCAAAATGTCACCCCATCCTCTAAAGGTGCTTCAAACATTTAATAAGTTTTTCATTTAGATTTGTTCTGCAGTTTGGTTAGTCCAGTACTGTTACACTGCATGGTTAAACACATTGATTGTTTTGACCATACACACTGAGCATATTCCACAGTGCCCTTCAACAGCACATCTGCAACACAGAGATATCACCTTCATCAGACAAACCCCCAGAATCAGCAGCACGCACCTGACTCTCATCCTGCAAGATTTACTGGTTTTTAATGGTAAGCCAGACTACATGGCAGATGTTCAGCTGTTGAGTGTTCTCAACCATTTTTCAGATATTCATTATTTCTTAGGAAATATATCACAATCTGCAAACCTTCTTCCTTTGCCTTACACTATCCTCAGTAGTTTCCTGTTTCTTCTCCAGTTCTTCACAATTTTTAGCTTTGTGTCATTTGCTGCCCTGATTTGCAACCAATCAGTAAAAGAAGTTCTTACAGTCAGAAAAAGAAGATGCATTCCCCTTTCTCAGGTAGCATTACAGCAAGATCTAGATGGAGAAGGACTAATGTCACTCAAAGCAAAGGGCTGAGAAACACTCCAAGGCTGACACATCAAGATCAGAACTGGTTATAGCCAGCAACACTAGTTTGGGGAGTTTAAAAAGAGGAACTAGAGATACCTGTTTGTGTCCAGAACAAAGGATACAGAACGAGGTCAACTAACAGTGATGTCCAAGATATAACAATATGACTGCTGAATTCCCAAAAGATTGCTATCATTGCAAGAGTGCTAACCCCTTTGCTTTTGATAGAATGGCTTAGATTCAAAAAAAAAAAGTATAAAGCCCAACAGCTTCCAAAACTGTAACTTCTCATTCATTATTGTAGACTCAGCTGAGCCAGTAAGTCAGGACACACTGATAAGACTTTGCTATTTTTAGAAGTCACATTAGATCTCATCTTCATGTTTAATACTTGCCAAATATTCTCACGCAATCCAACTTTTGGCAATATTTCTTTTGCATACTCTGTGGATGAACAAGAGCAGACAGCTACACTTACATGTGAAGTAAATGAGTGACACAACTGTGTACCACACAGTGCCATTACAGAATGTTAACATAAATTTATACAGAAGGTATGAAGCATGTAACTTTTCCAACGTTAGCACTGTCAGTAGAATTGACTCGTACCACTACCTCCATCTCCTCCTCTGTGAGGAGAAAACACCCCGTATTTTACATGTAGCATTAGGAGAGCCCACCAGAGGGAGCTGCCAGGACATTGAATACAGGACTAAAATAGGCTGGAAAACCTGAGCTTAGCTACTTAAATAGGGGAGAAGCATGTCTTGATACTTAAAGCGGCGAGTAATGTATGTAGCTTATTATTGCACCAAGCACCAAGCCTAGTGAGGAAAAAAGCTGGCTCCAGTTCAGGATGCATGAAAGGTATGCATTTTTAACTGAAAAAAGTTCAATTACTTAGTTATTTTTTCAGTGGGAGGGGGAGAAAGAACATCACAACAAAATATATAACAAGATTTCTGTTGTCCAATAGCAGATCAGTAGGCAGAGCACGCAGAAAATTAGAAGAACAGAAATATTTCACCTAGCCAACTTCCCCAGCCTGCAGCTCAGTAAAGTCATGACTGAAAATACAAATAAATAAAAGAACAAAATAATTTGAATATATACTCATGCTAATACAAAATAAACAAAAACCCCACAGCCACACAAATACAGCAAAACCAAACCAAAGAAATATAGAATAACACCAGCAGTTATCAAACCCCATATTAAATCTTTTGACAAGAATTAATGCCAGAAATAAAAAGATCAATAGAGCAAAATGAAAAATTTACTCAATATACATCAAGTGGGAATTCAGTTCTATATATTTCCCCCAAAAAAATATTAAGAAATCATTACTTAAAAATGAATATGTAAAATTTGAGTATGTAATAATAGCTATAATAAGTAGAAGCATAAACTTATTGCTAGCCTATTTTCCCTAATGTTTTGCATGATGAGAACTCCCACTTCCTCAAAAGAAGGGTCACCATGATAAAAGTTACAAATCTAGACTTGAAGTAATGGTCATCTTTATAATACTTCTGCACCAAACAGGACACTAGAAGATGGTACAAATTCAAACCCTGCAACTTCTGTCCACTCAAACCTTAACTGAGGTCACAAGAGGCCAAAGAATCCAGTCCAGTAATGCTAAGCTTTTATGACACTGAAATTTCTTCTCCTATGTTAACAAGCCACCAGCTGAGATGCTCAACAGGGATAAGTAAGGAGCCAACCTTGAGGATAAGCAATTTAATCTTTGTCCTTTGTCCATCTACAAACCAAGGACCATAAAAAAATGTTATAAACATCTTAGATTCAGAAGGCCTTTCTCTTCTCTCAGAAGAAGTGGAGACAGCAACCAAAATAGTCAGGGGGTTGGGGTGAAGGACAATTGGAGCTGGGTGACCAATGGCATTCTCACTTCCACCTGTGTGTCCTAATATGTACTCTTCCAGCACCAACAAACCTGATGTCTGCCATCAGCAATGAGAACTCAATACCACGTGAAAGCTGCAAAAGCTTTTGTTGATATTCAAAGAATGCAACTGAATAGAAGTGACCTTCAAAAACATTTCAGAACAGACAAGAAAACTGAAGCCAAACATTAAGTCACGGCAGCTACCTATTACTAAGAAAATTAAAGTCTTTAAAAGGAAATGTCAACACTTTTCAGAGGCATTCTACAAAAATACTTGTAAGACACGAGCAAGAGTTATTATACCCTGTCTCCAAAAAAACAGGGTTTTTGTATCACCCTATACAGGCTTACCTATATAAACGGCCATCGTCTTCAAAGTCCTCTTTGCCCCACCTTCCTTTAATATCTTCGATTACATGATTTTTCAGGAATTTTTTAAGCAGCTTCACCGTTTGATCGCGAGTCACTTCTGGGCCAAAGTTTTGGTTAGAGCCAAGCAGCTCATGCAAACATTCCACTGCCTCCGAGGCTTTGAAGCATCGCTCGTAGCTCTTGAAACGACAGCGATGCTTCCGTAAGGGCATCCCAGCACGGAAGAGCTCGATTATCTCGTTCCACTGGGAAAGAACAAAGCCAGTCGTTACGGGAGCTCTCCTCCCAGGTTTACCTGCGGCCACAACGCAGCCGGCTCTGCAAGCAGAGCTACACCCTTTTGTCACCGTCTGCGTTCACAACACCACCGAAACCTAAGCCCAGGATTTAAACTGTGGCGACCCGAGAACAAACACCAGGTTTAGGAAGCTGAAATATTTAGAGCCCCATACTACCAGCGGACCTAGGGATACAGCTCTAGCCTCCCTTAGGTTTTACCGGGACAAAAGGCTCAACCTGCCGCTCCGCCCGGCCGGCCTCTGCCCCGCGCCAGCCCCGGGTGCCCCCGCCCCGCAGAGACGCGGCCTGGGAGCACCGGCCGGCACCAGGAGGCCGGAGGGCGAGTGGCCGCGGGGGACAGCGGCGCGGGAAGGCGGCGGTGTCGGGGATGGTGGCGGGGGCACTCACCAGGCGGGTGGCGCGGTACGGCCCGGGCCCCACCAGCCGCGGCTCCATGGGCGCGGCCGCGCCGGCTCCGCGCCGCGTTTGAATCCGGCCGGGCGCCGCCGCCTTCGCCCATTGGACGGTGGGCGCAGCACGTGACGAGCCCGCGCCGTGCTTGATTGGCGGGGCGGGGGCGGGGTGGGAGCCGAGCGCGAGGGGGCGCTGTGGGCCCCGTCCCGGGCCGCGGGGGGCGGCCCCGTCCGAGCGCCTCAGCGGGCGAAGGTGCCGCGGGGCCGCGCGGTACCGGGCTCTGTGCGGGGGTGCCCGGCAGCAGGACAAGAGACAACGGGCAGAAAATTGATGCACTGGAAGTTGCCCATGAACATGAGGAGGAGCTTCTTTGCTGTGCGGGTACTGTGCACTGCAACAGATGTCCCGGAGACGTTCTGGATCCTCCCTCGTGGAGAGATTCCAGGAACATCTGGACTCAGTCCTGTGCCAGTCCTGTACTCTAGGGTGGCCCTGCTCGCGTAGATAGGCTGGACCAGGTAGCCTGCTGTAGTCCCCTCCAACCTGGCCCATTTGGCGATTTTGTGTGTGGTAACAAGTTAAACCATGTCAGGAAAACATTGGCCAGTGAATTGCTGCCCTGGATAAAGAGAACACAGCCTTGGCATTAATTAAACAAACAAAACAACAAAAAAAATCAACCTAAAAAAACCCCCTCCAAACACTCAATTTTCAATATTTTAAAATTGTTTCCAATCCATTTTTTTTTTTGAAGAATTTTGTTTTGAATTCAGGCAGTATGTGGGATGATAATTACTTGCAATTACATTTGATATTTGATAGTAGATGACAGGGGTTGATGCTGGTGCCACAGAACTCATTGAGTTGTTGTATATTAGCTCTTTATGAGTATTTTTTAAAAAGGGTTACTTGGAAAGTAAATAGGAAACCTCCATTTTAAGGTCGGAGATTTTGATACCAAGTCACCTGTCCTGCATGGGCAGGGATGTAACTGAAACTCCTGTGGTACCTATCACAGATGAGCTATCTCTGTCAATTTTTAGGACTCGCACAGGGGAGAAGTGACTGGTAACATCAGTGTTGCTTTCCCACCAGGTCTAAGGAAAACAAAATTATCGCCTTATTCCCCTCACTGTCAGTAAACATTCACCATAACATGGATGACTTAGCTGACTGTTGGACTCCTCTTTCCAGCCTCACTCAAAAGTATACACTTAAATATATGAGATGCACAGTTTTTAGGTTCAGATAAAGATTGTGTGATTCTCACATCGTGTGTAGGAGGACAGGATTTGTTTTGAGCTGATGTCATTGGCATCCTCTTAGGCTGCATCCATACAACTCACTGTGAAACACTGCATTCTCTCTCTCCAAATGCTTTATAATTCCCAGAAGACTAAACCACTGTGCAAGATATTATGCAGTGGCAATCTGACACGGCACTTGCTGACAGCCCACAGAATGATTAGCATCTCCAGTTTCTGCCCCTGCTTATTAGTTCTTAATCTCAAACAACTGACTCTGGAAGCCTTTGGCTAGTGTACAACTGCTGGAATTGGAAGTTTTCCTGGCTCCTTTCTGCTCAGCACCTGTCCACATGCAGCACTCCTTAGTTTTCACTGTGCATAGTCTCAGCTCCTATTTAAGCCCAAGTGAGTTTGAAAAATCAGTTGCAGATCTAGCTCCCAGACCAACAAACAAGTACCTGTCCCTGCACAGCCAGCTGCAGGATGCATTTCTCCATCCATATTTATGGGCAGGGAAGGAGGTATGATTGCAAAATCAGAGACCATAACTAGGACTTTCCCTACCAGCACAGAAATCATCTGCAAGACTACAGAGTAACGCCTGCTTCCTTGCACAAGAAGCAGAGGGTACTATTATCCAGTTTTCACCACAGACTAGCTATTACAGCCTTTCCCTCATAAGGCCTGCATTTCCCAAACACATTTGAATGCACAGGCTCTAGAAGGCCTAAAAGAACCAAATTGTCCCACTTCCTCCAACAGTAATGCCCCACTTCCTTCATCATTACTTATGTAATAAATATTTTTTATATATATGCATTAAAAAAAAAAACCAAACAAGAAAAAAAAAAAAACATTCCAGCTATTTGAAAAAAAACAGCAATAGGCCTCTGTCCTTAAGGAAAGCCCCCCTAACACTGGAGGCCAGGGACATACATACAGCCCAGAGCTGTCTGACTTGAGACTTGAAATCAGGGGTGGACTGCATTTCTCACTAAAGAGAGGTGCAGTGCCTGATCAGCATCGCAGCTGTTTGGGACCATGTGATAGAGCACCTCTCCACATGAACTGCTGGGAACTGAACGCTGATGATTTGAACATCAAGCATCTAAAATTCAGGGGTTGCAATTTAAACCTCAAGTCATCCCAATACTTTGAGATCTACTTTCAAGCTGCCATGAGAGCTGACAGCTACAGGGATTAAATAGTGAATAGATAAATATAAATTATTTTTTATTTGCTTAAAAAAACTTGATGTAATCTCAAAAGAAAATATTTGCAACTCATGTCCAACCTAAAGTTTATATTCCTTTAGCGTTTACAATGCACTGTAAATGTCAGTAAAATGAAAGTGTTCAGGTAACAAAGCTTATGTTCTTGGAATTGTGCAACAGGGAGGCTATTAAAATCTGCCTCAAAGTCTTGAGTATTTGAAAATCCCACAGATCAGATCAAGTAAAAAGCAAATATTGCAAGTTACTTTTTTTCTAGTGTTGTAGAAAACAGTACCTTTAATGGTAACATTAATCTAAACACATTTAATTCCTCATTTCCAGGTCTGTTGCATGCACCAATTCCTTAATAAACTCATGCAGTACAAACGCAACTTGCAAATAGCAAGTTCTTATGATTTCTACACAAATGTGACCCTAACAATCTTTCTAACCTTGGAAAACAACATACTGGGTAATTCTACACAGAATGGAGCCATACCCAGTCACCGCCTGCCCCACTTTCAGAAGCTCAGAGAATGTCACATATTTTTTTTTCCCTGGTTCCAGACAAGACAACTGGAGTAAATGACCTTTAGCTGATAAAAACAAGACATAATAATAAAAAAAACGAGATGACACAAACTCTTTCTAGACATGTATTTCAATAGATAATGGAAAGGGAAGAAAGTAGAGCACAGTACAATCATGGTAGGCAACATTTCAGCTTAAATCATTAAATCAACTTTTTTTTACATTTCATTTGACTACTAAGATTTTGGCTATTGAATTAAAAGATTCCATAATCCACTTAGCCCCACTTCACAAGCAGCACAGGCTAGCAATTTAAGGTATATCCATAGACACACTGAATAATAAGAATATTTGGCTACTACAGTGAACAAATCAGTAAGATGTTTTGATCACTATGCTACAAGACAATTCAGATAATCCCCATATTAGTAGCTTTCCAACATTTATGATAATGTTCAACTGAGTAGAACATGAAATGAATTCAGTTCTCCTAGTAAAAGACAGTATATCCGAAAATCTGTGATCTTCAAATGAAACGCTATTTTTTAACAGATTAACATACAATCCTTCCTTTAAAGTAATACAGTTTATAAACAGATGTAACAATGTTTATGTATTAACTATATTAATATGCCTTAGATTCTATAAACAGTACTTACTGAAGAATCATTCTTATAATAAAATGCAGCTGACAGTCTTAGCAACTTACAACATTAAAAGTGAAGTATTTTTTATCCCCCTCAAAGTGTGTTCAAAGTACTCAGTACTTGTCATACACATTTTAGTTTTTCCAATTATCTTTATTTTTGTGCATTTTCTAGATAGAGATCTCTTTCTTTTTTAATCAGAGATCCGCAGTTCTTCCCCACTCCCATGTTCTGAATCCCAAATAACTTACGGTAAAAATACAAATTCTGTTTTGGAAGAAAACATACAAAATATACACCATGTAGTGTGCGCACCTAAATGTCTTGATTGTCAAGTAGTGCAAGTTTCCCCATTGACATATAGACTTCTTTGGTTTTAGAGACAAGAATTTGTTTCACTGATCTTTGCTGATGCCATTTCTTGCCATTTTTGGCAGTCTTTGTCCCTTCGTGTAAGCATGGTACCAGAAGTGGAGAAACAAGACCAAAAACATGGAGCCATAAAGCCAGATAATAAACATGAAAATTGGATACTGGTACGGACAATCATCCATGATGTAGATTTGTCCTATATGGACTGTAATCATAATAAACTGGACCTGGAGGAAAAAGGTGAAGAAAATAAGTTATTTTAAAATAAATTAAAATCTTACTACAGAAGTTTAAAAAATTTCAGCATAGCTTGTTTGTTGAAAAACAGATAGTAGGGGTGAAGTGGGTGGAAAACAAGGAGCAACAGGGACAACAATACAAGTTCCTAATATGACACAGATGCACCTTTGTAGACCATCTCCCCACAATATTATTCCACTGAAAAACAGGTTTACAGAAAAAAGGAAGAGAGAGTCTGGGACAAACTAAGAAACTCATTGAAAAAAGGAAGAGAGAGTCTGGGACAAACTAAGAAACTCATTGAAATAGATTAGGATTCTACCCTGGCCAGTTCAGATAAAAAAGGAGGAGACAGACGGTGTTTGTCCAGTGACAAATGGGAGGCTCCTTTAGAAAAATTAGCCAGGAAAAAAAAAAAAAAAAAAGAAAGTAACCATTACAGGGTTAAGGAACAATTATTCCCACCTTCCCTGCACACTAGTATGTGACAAAAATACACTCCGCATGAACTCCAAGTTAAAAGTTCACTGGTGGTGCCTCTAGGTCAAAAAGACCAAGTTATAAATATTCAGGCTACATTGTTTGGAGTTGCACATGGTTACATGAACTATTCTACCAAAACCAGCCCTGGTGCAAGCAGACAGGGTGCTCCTTTACCTCCTTCATCAGCATCTTTGCTCATTCTAAGCCAATTGTTTAGCCAGAAACTGAACATTGAAAATTCACCTATTAAATGAGGTGGGCATGAAAAAGCACTCAGAAGAGCAACCTTTTGAAAGTGACCTAAAGCG